ACTGCATATATCAAACTTGTGTTTTTGTGCCATGTTTTTGTGCAACAGTTCATACTCCTGATCTTCTATAGAGTGACCATAACTTCATACTGCTCAGTATGTGGCTCTTGAGTTGCAACTTGTGGCTGAATACCAGAGTAACAGAAGCATCTCAGAATTTTTTTCAAAACATATTATTATATTACGATATAGATTGCCCACCCTATCAACAGAATATTTGACAGAATACACTGTGCTTTTATATTTTATATTATCTAGCGGCAACAAATAATACTGCATGGTGTTGCTTGAGCAATGGTGAAGTTTGTTCTTTGTAATTTAAACTACTACCAAAACATAAAGAGGAACATAAAGAGCAAACATAAAGGCACAGTTAATTCCAGATGAGTTTGAACTTTCACCATGTTAATTGAAGTTTGCTGGAGAATTGAGGATGACTAAGCAGTATAAGTTGCAAAATGGAAGTTGCATAGAGCCCTATGACAGTGAGTCCATCGGATGGTGTGGTAAAAAGCTTACTCAAAAGGAACATGACACGATCAGTTAGTATCATGTCCAAAAACACAACGCCCAAAATATGTATGACCTAAAAGCAGGAACAGCTGCAGCAGAAGTAGCCAGAATGACAGCTTTGCTGCCATAAACTTTCCATCCAAGTTACGGAAAAAAGACACTGGAAGATGGAAGAGGTTTAAAAAATGAAGGCTTGCTAAATAGAGGGCATGAATAATAAATTAAAAAAGAAGAGGTAAAAAAGAGAAATATGTTCAAATGAATGAAAAAAGAAACCTTTAACTCAAAAGCAAACCAACACAGACATTTATGCTGTTACCAGAGAGTTCTCGCCGAGGCTGGCAAATTTGTTTCTTAAATCTTTGATAATATCGTGCTGCGGAAACAAAATTCATCAGGGTTTTTTTTTTCACACTATTAGCTCTCCTGTGGTTAAAGTGTATCTTTCTTTTTTCTTTAAATTACGTGACAGATCTAGATGGAGGCACAAAAAGGAAAAAAAAATATGGCAGCTTTGCTTCATATTTAGCCATGCTGAGGTTTGAAATTTTTGCCTTCATGTTTAAACCTCTTCCTGGGAGTTCAACAAAAACGAACAGAAACATACTCACATACACACGCGCGCACACACATCACACACACAAACCACCAGAAAATCATGACGTCACTGGTTTGACATAGGTACAATATTTTCATTTGCTTCAGATGTCACTGAAAATTGATCAGTGTTTCTTTTTTAAAAATAGAACAACCCAAACTTTCCTGTTTCTAGTTAGTTTTAGACCCAACAATCTTTCATTTTTCTTCTATTACAAGATTTTTTTTTTTATTCACTTTGGTTCACAGGAGGCTTAACATCAGCTATACTATTTTCACTAAATAATATTTTTGATAAGTTCATAAGAATGCTTATAATGAGGGTGTATCTGCAGTATCTACAGACTAAAAGAATGCACTTCTTGCAATGGTTCTATAGAAGAACAGTAGAAACAGACACTGCCAAACAGTTTAAGGTGAGAAGAATGGCATTTTCCATGGAAATCAAGCTGTCCAGGTTACTAGTAACAAAGCAGACCAAAAAAAAAAATCCACCAGCAAACAAAAACCCACAAAGATTTCTTCTAAAAGCAACCATTCCCTTAATGACAACCCCCAAAGATCATGGTTCCTTCTTCAGCTTGACAATGCTTTTTCACTGTTACTTTCCCCATGGAATGTTAATACATATATGTGATGGCAGCACTGACATGCAGTGTGCGAGCCACTGCATAAAAAGTATACTAAATTAATAGAGCTGCTGGATGGTCAAGGTATCCCCATTTCTCTAATATATGCTTACTTATCTGTGCTATCAGCACAGTTTTTGCACGTTGTTGCACTTGCAGTTGATACCAAGAAAACTACCAAAGTCATTAGCCAGTAGTTTGAGTTTGCTCTCATTCATAAAATCACTGCAACAACAGCGAAAATGTTTCATACTAAAACGAAACATTTAAGGTAATTCACTAAAATTAAGAAAAAAGAACCAAATCAAAACACAACAAAAAAAACCAACCCACAACTCAAAGATAACCAAGGCTATTTTATCTTGGATGTGTCACATGTTGGGCAAGTCAAATTTTATCTTGAATTTGTAGGCAGAAAACTTGCTAAAGCTAAATAAGAGTTTTAACTCACAAGCGGGCCACTGAAATTGTTTTCTCATGATGCACACAAAAAATGATTCTTGGACCCTCTCTCATGGGCTTGCAGCCATGGCGTACAGGCATATGAACATACTTCTACAGAGCATTCTCATTTTTTTTTGTTAATATGAAACTATTAAAGAATTTAAGAGTAAACAGAATAAACAAATAGATGGAAAAGGAAGAAATTACTCCAACTCTTCTAAGATGAATGCTTCAACATCTTTATTGATGACCTTGATAAGGACATTGAAGGTATCATCAGTAAGTTGGCAGATGATGTCAAGTTAAGTGGGAGTCTTGATCTGCACAAGGATAGGGAGGCTCTACAGAGGGACTTGGATAGATTGGATCAATGGGCCAAGGTTAATGGGACGAGATTTAACAAGGCCAAGTGTCAGGTCCTGCACTTGGGCCACAACAACCCCATGTGATGCTACAGGCTTGGGGAAGTGTGGCTGGAAAGCTGTCTGGCAGAGAAGGACCTGGGGATTCTAACAGACAAGAATCTGAATACCAGCCAGCAGTGTGCTCAGGTGGCCAAGGTCAATGGCATCCTGGCTTGTACTAGAAACAGTGTGACCAGCAGGACTAGGGAGGTGATTGTCCCTCTGTACTCAGCACTGGTGAGTCCTCACCTTGAGTACTGTGTTCAGTTTGGGGCACCTCAGTACAAGAGAGATATCGAGGTGCTGGAGTGAGTACGGAGGAGGGCAAAAAAGCTGGTGAAGGGCCTAGAAAATAGATCTTATGAAGAGTGACTGAAGGAGCTGGGGCTGCTTAGTTTGAAGAAGAGGAGGCTGAAGGGAGACCTCATCGCTCTCTACAACTACCTGAAAGGACATTGTAGAGAGGTTGGTGCAGGTTTCTTCTCACATGTAATTGGTAGTAGAACTAGAGGGAATGGCCGTAAGCTGCAACAGGGGAGATTTAGGCTGGATGTTAGGAAAAAAATTTTCACAGAAAGAGTAGTCAGACACTGGAATGGGCTGCCCAGGGAGGTGGTTGGGTCACCTTCCTTGGAGGTGCTTAAAGGTCATTTAGATGTGGTGTTGGGGGATATGGTTTAGGTGTGGACTCTGTAGAGTAGGGTTATAGGTTGGACTTGATCCCAAGGGTCTTTTCCAACCTGAGTGTTTCTATGATTCTCCCTTGAATCATCTTCATATTTTATACCTTTCTTATTCCATGAGAATAAATCCTATTAGATAAGTCTTAGACTGACAAAACATCTGCTAGTTTCACTGTCAGGCATGCATGAGTACAAGGCATGTATTAAAATATATTATCAAGTACTCAAACAGAAACTTTATCCATATACCTTTATATATATTAAGCCTTTAAACTCAATACATGCTGGTTTATGCTCTGCAAAGTTGAATTTTTCCTAAATCACTCATTTGGACTTCATCAGCTCTAAAAAGAGTATACAGAAAATGAAAATATAATGCATATTTAAGAGTGTTAGAGGAGTTTATTGTATCAAATATGCTTTCCATATTACTTAAATATTTCAATCCCTGCAACTTCACACTCTTATTTCTGCTTCTGCTGAAAGTCTCAACCCAAAAGATTTTTTTTTTTCTAGTTGAAAAGTAATTTTTAACTAGCTGATATGATATCCATTATTATATCTCACTGAGATGAAGTATATTTTATGTACAATGAAAGGAATTTTTTAAACTACAGATGCTAAAATGTATGAATAAGGTAAACAGGAAATATAGAGGCTACTAAACTGCAAGTGTATAAAATAATTAAAATACAATTAATCTCAGAAGTAAATTTCAGAATAAATGAATGGCCATTCTAAAGCTATTTCTCTGCCACCTGCTGTGCTTTTTTTTCTATGTACTCTTCCTTCTGACTTGTATCAATACCAGGCATCTATAAACCTTCTATTACTTGATATTACTTTCATGATACAAGTACTTCTGAAAATGCTTGAAAGTGGTGTCTAAGTATCATCACTAAAAACAGTAAGCAGGTTCATAAATTAACTACCACATTCTTAGATATATGCAGTCAGTGGTACTGTGATAGCAATTTTTATTTTGTATGTACGACTTTAGAACACTGACTTTTAGAACACATGACTTTATTGTACGACTTTAGAACACTGGCAGACCTCTTGCAGTAGAGGATTTATTAAACATTATTAAGTAAACGTATGCTTTCATCTATTCTATTTTAACTCAATGACTTAAGAAAATTTGAAAATATTTTCTGCATTCATCTTTATCATTGTTGGTGCTAAACAAATAATAAAATCAAAAAATAAAATGTAGCTAGGAAAAACTCATATGCAAAAAAAAAGGCTGTTTTGATTTTTTGGCTGTAAACAACATTCACCTTTCTTGGGCATTAGAGTAGATACTTTGTAATAAGGCAAGATGAGAGGAAATGAAGTAACTTTGATCTAAAAAGTACCTAGGAAAAAAAAAACCTGAAGAGGAACAAACCATCTTATAAATTTTTAACAAATTCCAGACAAGACAGCAAAAAGCTATTAAATACTTCATAATATAACAGTTGAAAAGTCACAAGAATTATAGCAATCAAAATTATTTCTTGTATTCACATCAATATTTAGAGAAAGAAGTACTGGTATTCTGCTGACTTTCCAATGAAATGCCAAGAAGGGAGGAAAAAAAATATGTCCTATTATTAGATTTTATGACATAACTGTCACTCAGTATCAATAGTCAGCAGAATAATCCACATGGGCATAAAGTACATGGCTTTCCCAAGGGCGAGTCCTGCTTGATCAAACTAGCAGCATTCTCTGATGGAGTGACCACATCAGTGGACAAAGGAAGAGCTACTGATGTCATCTATCTGGATATCTATCTGGAGTACTGCGTCCTGCTCTGGATTCGCCAGCACAGGAAATACATGGACCTGTTGGAGCAGGTCCAGAGGAGAGCCACAAAAATCATCAGGGAGCTGGAGCACCTTCCCTATGAACAAAGACTGAGTTGGGGCTATTCAGTCTGGAGAAGAGAAGGCTCCATGGAGACCTTACTGAAGCCTTTCAATACTTAAAGTGGGCCTTTAAGAAAGATGGTGACATTTATTTTAGCAGGGCCTGTTGTGACAGGACAAGGGGTAATGGTTTTAAACTAAAAGAAGGTAGATTTAGATTAGACATAAGGAAGAAATTTTTTATGAGGGTGGTGAAACACTAGAACAGGTTGCCCAGAGAGGTGGTAGATGCCCCATCCCTAGAAACCTGATCTAGTTGAAGATGCCCCTCCTCATTGCAAAGTGGTTGGACTAAATAACCTTTAAATGTTACTTCCAACCCAAACTATTCTACAATTCTATGTATAAATGTTAGAGCCTGTAGTTGTGGAGAGCGAAATCATGTATTAGGTTGCATTCATCCCATTACGGGTAGGAAAAACTAATGAGAAACACATTTCTGCATACTAATTGGAATGTTTAATTCCAAAGAATTGATACATTGGTCATGGAGTCTGACTTTATTTCATACCGTTCTTTAACAAAAATAGTTACTTATCGTAAATATATGGTATATGGTCACTCCATTTATGGAGGCTTTGTGACAGTGAGAGAAAACAGCTACCATCTCTGATGGGCTAGAACCTTAGGAGCTTGGATTACTTGTACTTACAGCAACTTGTCAGTCTTTCTGTGCCTGCTGTGACAGCACAATGTATCATTCTGACAAATATCTAGTGAATACAAATGCATATCAACAAAGTCTCTACCAGAAACAGGGACCACAACTGACATAGGAAGCTCTATCTTCCTCATTTCTTCCTGTGAAAAGCCAATTTAAACCATTTGATACTACAAAGATGAGCTAAGTTTTGATACGTTTTTGGAGTTTCCATCCCACACATATTTAGAGCACATAGATCAGTAGCAAATCCATAGAGTTGGTGGACTCAAATGCAGAAACCTATTTGCATTCATCTAGTGAAACACTGACTGGAAAGAATTTCCTATCAGGTAGAACCAAGGGGGACAAGTGACACCAACTCTACAGGGAGTCAACTCAGTGTTCAGTATGATAGAAAGTTAACTTGGAAGCCAAAGAGTAAAGATAACCACAATAATTTAAAGCCAATACTAGCAGGCACTCACAGACAGGCCCATAGCAGTGCACAGACAACTTCATTGTGGGTTTATATTGTGACCTCCCTACTGCCCACACAGTGATCCCAATACAGATTATTTTACAAAAATGAGATTACATTGCATGAGACGTGGGCATGAAAATTACCACTAAAATACTAATTCTAAGTTTGCCTAAATGTCTCTGTTGCTCTGACTGTGAAAAGATTCAGGACTTCAAACATCACACATTTTTAAAATCTAGAGGAGTAGTAGAGTCTTTCCCACACAAATCATTCAAGTCTTTTTAGATTAACACAGAGTAAGGATTAAAATAACTGCCTTCAACATTAAACTGTGAGATAGACTGACAGAAAGAAACAAACACACAAATGCTCACAAGTACGCAGACAAGATGGCACACATGGTTTCATATCTTTACAACTGTTTCCTGTCATGTATTAAGGAAACAAGGATTATTGTTCTCTTTTTTTCCCCTTTCAAAACACTCCTCAATCAGTAAGACAGAAAATTTTGTATTTAGCGTACAGTAACCAGGTAGGCAGAGTGACAGACGTATAGAAGTTATATAGCTGAGTGACTGGAATAAATAAAGAGATGTAGTATTAGATTGCTTACATACTTCCTTTGGGGTTTTGTAATATGTACTTGTGTTCCTGGCAATTACAATACCTTTTAAACAACTTTTTGTGAGCCTATGTGAGTGCATTCATCTTCCAAGATAATGAAGGTGGAACAGATCTGTGCAAACTTTTGAAGGAGTAAGAATGAAGTTGATCCCAGAAGACAAATTCTCTTTCCACAGCTGTATGGGAGCCTTCTCCCTTTGTGAATTGAATGTTAATAGAAACGATAGCAAACACCAAAATTACCTTGTTCTTTTCAATGGAGACAGTTGCAATTGTTCCCCGTATTGCTACAGGCAATGAACTCTGAAGCTACGTACTGAAGTCTGGCCATCAGCTAAAAATCTGTGCATTCCCAAGGCCAAGCAACTCATCTCTTACTGAGATCTAGCTGCCACTAGCCACAGCAAAAATAACTATATCTAAACACGTCAGAAACAAAAATTAACTACCCCGCACACCATACCTCCTCTTAGACTTGCAGCACTATCAGCAAGCAGCCTGAGGCAGCAATGGGAACTGAGACTTCTACCTGCATGAAGTAAGCAAGTAGGCTGGTGCTTAAGCCACAGGCCACCTTTTAGAAACAAATGGTGAGACTTTCATGATGAGACACAAAAGACTGTAAGAAATTGAGTCAACAAAAAAAAAAAATTAACACTGAAATTTCAGAGCTATTGCCTCTATGTTTTTAGAGAAAACATGGAACAACTAGAAATCACTTCAGGTATGGAGTAGCTATGGAGTTTCTATCAAATACTATCATAATGAAGGCTAAGGACTCAATCTATCCCAAAGGATCTGAATCACAGACAAGCTATAATACAAATAATGCTCTCTCTGTGACAAACATGGGCAATAGAATTCTACTACTGTATCAGAAATGCATGTCTACTTAGATGCAAAAGAAAAGTCCAACTGCTTTCCTGCAAGAGCCAAATAAATTATTTCAATAATTGAAATTAAATTATAACCAGAAAGAAGATAACTGATGCACAAAAGGCAAGAACAGCAACACAATATGAACAAGCCAAATGACACTTCATTTTCTCCAAAGTGGCAATGTAATCTTATGTGACATATTTTGCATACATAATTCTCGGAGTCTTTAAAAAGAGTTAGTGCAAAAGAAGGGTTTTGGCAGAGATGTCATGCTGTAACTGAAACGTAAAAAACATTTTCAAGACCTTTCAGTTGAACTTATCCAAGATGTTGGGCCTAAAAAAAATCACAAAATTAGACCCAGACAAATACACACATATTTTTTTGTTGTTTTACCTTGCTGCGTTGTGATCCTGTCACCTTAAGGAAGGGCAAGGACAAGAAGCGAAATAGTAATAAGAAAAAGAATTCCAAATTTTTTTTTCTGCAGGTGACTGACCAAATACATACACAAAATTGTCTTTTGAACAGCTTAATACATTGTTTGAACATAAGTTTCATAACTACAGAAAAACTAAGCACAAACAAATGATTTGGATCTTCTCTCAAGAGATAAAGTTGAATGCTGAACAAGGAATCTATTATAATTTATTTAAGGAGCACTAATAAATCCCTTACAATTTTTTTCATTCACCTCAGTGATTTCCTATTTATAAATTTTCACACCTGTAATCACAAGACTTGATGTCTAACAAGCATGCATAGGCTCATTGAAAAAAGCACATAGAAATAAATATTCTTAGCTTAGTCAATGACACATCACACATTGCATTTCCAGGAAAATAATACCAAAAACTAAAAACTAAAAACAAAAAAAAAAGAAATAAAAGAACTGGACTAGAACTTCTAGTTCTGAAATGAATTTGGTACTGGTATTCTTTCTGATTTCTGTATATAGCCAAAAGAGGGAATACGTACTTAAATAATTCAGTGCTCTCTCATGCAGCACCATGTAGAAAATGTGTAGAACATTTGATGTGTACAAAACAATGGGAATAAAAGTAAACATGCCCCAAACCACTCCTCAAAAATCAAAACATCACAGGTAGTTTTATACCAAATCAATCAGGATTTTTAGAAAATTTTTTTAAAAAATAATAAAAGCATGTATTACATGTTTCTGTGGTTTAGTAAAGATATTAAACATAAGCATTAATTGATTTGAAAGATATAAGACAACTTTTAATGTCAGAGTCAGATGCTAAAATTTATGAAAATATAATAACAACCTAATTCCCTCCGGGCCCCTCTGAAGAGACAAATTTGTTCTAAACTCTATTTTATTAATGGAAAAAGAGAGACAGATCCCAGGGCAAACACATGACAAGGACTCATCTCTCACTCTTGTAATCATGTGTTTTCTTTACACAGTGATGATAACCAAAACCTCAAGATTAAACAACAATAAACACAGGTTTTCTATTATCAACAAATCAAAAAGCTTAGCAGTATTGATGAATACTCACCTTTTACTGAGAAGCACTTACACACGAAAATAAAAATACTGCATAAATTATTGGTACTGAATGTAAATGATTACTGTAAAAAACAGTATTGTTTCAGTATTTCAACCATCCAAACTAAAGGAAGGACGTGACACTTTACAAGACATAGCCTGTTATTATCAGACTTCCAGAGTAAGTTACTACCCGTAATGCTTCTCGTAAACAACTAAAAAGTTGAAGTCAAACAGATAAACATGTAAAATCTGATAAATTACTCTCTCTGTGACTCCTATCTGCCAATCCAGCTTCTAACATGCAGTTCACTGGCATAGTAAGCTGCAGTAAGCCATGAACCAAGAAACATAAATGTCAGTTGGAAGCTATGAAATAATGTCTAACATGACAAGAAACACAAAACAAAGCATGATCTTACTTCAAAGCTCTTAACTTCTTCTTCACCATCATCATCCTCTTCATCATGGCAGCTCTGATAAGATGTAGAAAGAAAATATTTAGTGATAAGTTGGGGGTACATGGGGGAGTCTAAGCCTTCCTTCACTTTGCACAATTGCTCCTGATTTTCTTCATTAATTTTATTAAAACAAAAAGATGAAAAAGATGATAGCAAAAAAGGTACCTTTGCCATAATGTCAGCATAAGCCATATACAGGAAATCTTCATCCAGTTTGCTGGGATGAGGGAGGAAAGGGAAAGTGAGGAACATTAGAGCCATTATAGTAGAATTAGAGAACCAAAATATTTTTAAGCACCTCAAAAATCTCTTTAAAGGGTATCTTTGTTCATAATTAATTTCAAGGTTTTTTTGAAAATGAGGACTCCATTAACTAATACTAACTGAAAAGTAAAGTCAGTTACAGTGCTCAGAACTTCATGTACACCTTTCAATAAAGCGAACACAGTTAATTTTTCAATTATATCTAGAATATACTTTACATTCAGAATATAACTGTCAACAGGGAACACAGAGAGAAGAGAGAGGTGTAACAAGTCCTGAACACAGCATCCATCCAAAAGTGTATAGGGGCATCTATTTGTCTCTGGAAAACTCCTTACATCTCCTCATCAGTCATGTTAAAATCTCATGTTTACACATCACAGGCTAGAGAGGTTTGAGTGTAACCCAAACTCACCATATGTACACACGCACATGCTTTGGCCTAGCCAATTCAATGTCACTTGAACAGAGACAAAGTATGACTTCAAATAGAAGAGCAATCTGAAAATCCGCATACACTCTGTAGTCTCTCACACCATTCCTACCATTTCTCAGTCAAGGCTGTTCGACTGAATAGCAGAATAAGTTGATGTAAAGGATCTACTCTTTTAAGGCTTTCATCTTCTTCCGGCGGTTCCTCTCCAGGTTTCTTTAGGGAAAAAAAGATTTTAAAAGTATGTTCAATTATCTATAGCAAAAAATGTTTTACTCTGCGTAATTTATTAAACATCATATACTCAGGTATGTGATTTTAATTTGGACAACCAGGAGGAAACAAGTTCCGAGCACAGTACAAAAAGCCTGAATCCTGACTGTGTTCATGAACATGAAGTCTTAAAAAGGTTATACCATTTGCAAAGTTTTGGATTTCGTCTCCTCAGAAAAAATAACTCTCTTCCTAGATTCTGAAAATACACTTCAGTGGTTTACTGCTCTTATCCAGAACGAGTGGTAACCGGATGCCATCATTTGCTATTGTATTGCCTGATCTTCTCTATGTTAACATGCTTCATCAGCTAAAAATTAGAAATCTCTGTTTCAAGTCTTATGTCAGGTACAATGTTCACTGAGGAACGCTGAGAGGCTTTGAGGGAGAAGAAATCTAAACTTAAAGCTCACCAATAGTTTGAGACAGAAGGAGCCCTATCTACCAACATCAGTAATGTTGGCAGGATGTAGAATTTTAGATGACAAATCAATAACGTACAAAAAATGTCAAACAATAGTATATATATACACATGTATATATATAGTTCTTTCATATGGTTATTTTGCTTTCAGATTTAGACAGCTTTAGTTAGCTCACTCTAAAAGAAAAAAGTCCTAAATATTATAACGACAACCACCAAATCAGTGTTTTGAAAAAAATCTGTCCGGTCCTCCAACTATCTGTCTTTTGCAAAAAGACATTTCAGAAAGTAAATTTTGCATATCAAGTTCTCAACAAAATAACTTAATCCAGACATATTTTTCTACAAAGCATCTGGAAGCTCCAAGAAAATTGTTTGCATAAATTATCCTCATTCTTCCTGCTTGTTTTCACCTAGCAGTATGCAATAAGATACAGAAAAAGAGAAGTCCATAAATTGATAAGATTGCACAAGTAGGAAATTATTAGAATGTCAGTTTTTATCTGTTAGCAATAAGAAAAGGCTGGCCACATGACAGATACAAAGAAAATGAATTTTTTGCCTATTAAGAAAAAAATTTGTCTCTGCTAAGTGTCAAATATACTCCTGGGAGAAAGCTTGTAGATCAATGAGTACTGCACTTCATACATGCCTATGAAATCCACCTTTTCCACACAGCTGTACCCAACATGAGTGGTTGCAGCTGAGAATTTACCTTAGTTAATGTATATGCACAATGATTGTTTCATACGCTAGTCTGTGATGGCCCTACAAGGCTCATTTCACATTTTGCAATGTGCGACAATATTTTTAGTATCAATATCTGAACACCACAAACTATAACTCTAGTTATAGCTCACCATCATGGAGGCTTTCCTCTGCTCTTTATTTCAATCTCATTTAGGATGCTGACCTTTCTAACTAATTAAATGGCAGCATTCTATTCTTGGTAATGTTATCAACTAGATTACCTCTCTCCTGTTATCAAAACTGATGAAGCAAAAGGGCAGAAGTTGTGTTCATGTTTAATACAAGTTACTATTTTTCACAGATTTAATTCAAATTAAATGGAGGATCACATTCACCAGTGACTGAGTTAAGTAGGACTCCGCATTAAGTATAGTGTGTACACTAGAAATAAAAGGTTTTCTGACATTTCTGGCAAATAAGTATTCTTAATTTTCAATGTTTTGAGACATTTGCCCTATAATTATTTAAGTGTGAAATTAAAAGCTTTAACTGAACATAACAGAGGTTAAAAGAAATAAGTTGGGTTTTAGTTGCTTTTTCTAAATGCTGAAGATTTTAAAGACTTAATTTTTATATAATCTAACTACTAAACATATTGTTCTTATAAATTATCATGTCCAGTAATGCCTACCAACAAAATTAATAAACAATTTTATCACATAAGCTTAATTGTTCATATAAGCTATCTGACTAAAGCATAAGCATTTTAGTTATTAATAAAGACAGTGTTGAATATCCTATGATTTTAATATTGAACATTAAAAATCTAGTTCTGTTAGAGACTTGATCTGTTTTATCAGAATTAAGAATCAGCAGAATTAAGCTCCTCAAATAGAGGACTTGTGTATACTTTTTTCTTTTAATAAACAGAGGCAGAAGAAGTAGTATCACTTTGTACAATACACTTAAGGACAGAAGAACAATAGACTTAAGGAGACAAGAACAATAGACTTAAGGACAGCGAACAAAACTTCAAGTTTAGTCCAGCCTGCTTTAAGGGATGCAAAAATTCATCTCTCACATCCCAGAAAAAGCCCTAATCAGTCTATAAAATGCTTGGATCTGACAAAGCCAGGAAGGAGGCAGTTTCTACTGCATTTCTTCCTTTAAACTATTTTTACTTGGCAGAAAAGAGAGTTCAAGGTTTTCAGTATTGAGAAAGAACGCACTATGGCATACAACGGTGTTAAAAGACAGGAAGTCTTTTATAGTTTCTGGGCCCTGGATTGTTTCAGTTTTCTACCTAATATGTCAACAGTTCACAAACTTCAGACAATCCTTCAAACATACATTAGACAACTCAAGGCTTCTCCTTTCTCCCATTCTAGACAAATTCAGCCACCACAGCTTGGGTTGTATTCCATCTCAACAGTCCAGTAAATCTTTAATTCTTTGTTGCACCAGGGTCTAGTTTCTCTATGAGGGACAGAGAACCTTCACCAGCATCACAACCACATCTTTCATGAAGACCACACAACAGTCTAGGTCAGATGCAGAGCTGAACAGTAGAACTTCACCCACGCTCTGTGGAGACACACTTATATGTATGCTTGAGGAACTACAAGAGAATGCCTGTAGTTTACTATAGGATGGTAGAGAAGCCAGTCCAGTCTTTCTGTCTTCTTTAAGACAGTTTTTCACATAAGCTACCTGCTGGCAAGTTGCTCTTCATAAAATTGGCAGAGAAATGGGTTTATAGTGGAGGTAAGGAGACAACCCTTTATGTCAGAGCATAACCAAATGACAATGCTCAGGCATTTCTTCACACACACAGACCTCCACATATGCAATGATCTATGCTGTGCCATTCCATATCTACACACACGTGCTCTCAGCTGCTAAAACATAATTATATTTGGTGATGAACCTGCATTATCTAAAACACTTGGAGTGTGTTGGGACATGTCAATACATCAGTTTAAAAGCTTGTATATCAAGTAAGTATTTGCAGAAGTCTCTTGCTTTTTCACAATAAGGATGCCACAAGAAATGACCTCTGTATGCATGCAGGCAAAAATGAACTTCCATAGTCTTTTTGTGTTGAGCTCCTTGCTGCTGATTTTCCTTTCACTATTTTGACCCTTATTTTCAAAATCCTTCGCAACTTGGGTAGCTGGTTTTAAGTATAACAGTAAAAGCAAATGTTTGGTTTTTTCTAATAGCAATTTTCCAGTTTCCTCTCTCTATTGCAGAGAGAGAGCAGGCTTTCCTTGCAGTTAAAAGACTGATCTCAAATTGTTTCAGATCTTCTAGGGACCGAATCATTTCCTACTACTAGTTCTTGCCCAACCCTTGAAAGAACGACCTTTCTGAGATCCAACTGTAAGGGATGAGGACATAAGGCTTTACTGAAAATCACCACAGGGATTTACCAGGCTAAAGACGTGGCTCTAATACTTTAGTGTTGGAAAGAGGATTCTTCTGCAAAGAAGCATCAGAGCCCACCTGCTTCTGCATTAGAGCCCACCTGCTGCTGCAGGACTGATTGATCTAAGACCAGAAGTCCTCTAGTTTCGCATTCTAACCTTTTCACTTAAATGGCTTTAATGTTATGAAGTCTTCAAACACAAGAAGGTTAACCAAAAAGAAAAGGGAATAGGCTGTTCCCATTCTCTGCGGGGCAGAAGATAAGAGATAGGGGAATGACAGCAACTGGCATGTAATTTAGATAAAAGTTCAAAAAGCTTTATAAAAGGTTCCTGAAGCCCTGAAGCAGACTGCTTGTGGGGGTTCTGGAATCTCCACCACTTCTAATGCTCAACACTTGTTAAGAGAGACTTGGTTACAGCTGGCCCCTGTGGGTAGAGATAGCTCAGTTCATATCTTGTGTACCTCACAGACTTATAATTATTATTATACAAGATGAATGTTAATCCATAATACATTCCCACGACCCTTTGCACCCAGACGTACTGCTAAGTCTTCTATCAGTTTATCTTCAAAATAGTGTTCTTCTGTCTCAATCCATGATTTATCATAGCCTTGGAGAAAGAGATTGACGGCTCGGTGCCTAAACAGGGACATTGAAAACAAAAGCTGTAAACTTTTTAGGAGAAAATTTGATCAATATGAATTTCTTTAACTTGAAGAAGTGTCCAGTCATTACAGCTACCATTTAAAAGGAAAGTAAAATTTCTAAGGTAGAACTTGCCAAAAGCAACTATTTTAAAAATTAAGTTTACATTAAAATGTTCTATCCAAAATTGTGTTTCATTAACTTGTAAAACTGATATTAAAATGTAATAATAATGATTTTAGGGACAGATAATGAATAGAATTTTAATTTAAACACAAGTAAAAAAAAAAAGCAATTACTTTGTCACATTAGTGAGTTTTATTTTTAATATAAAATATTTTCATATTATTTTATTTTAAATAATAAGGTAACAGCAAAACATATCTTTAGATTGTGCTCCAATAATTGCATTTTTTAATGTTCAGGATTAGACTTGCATTTCTAAAATAATAAGTCAAGTTTTTTTAATCTCAAACTCCATGAAATTAAATGGATGATGAGGCTAGGGGAAAGATGGTAAGCCAGTGATGACAATTATTGTGTTTTATTGCTTTTTTGTTCTTCAGAATTCAATGCAAAATTAACTGTGTGATAACGAGTTCTCCAGGAAGAATTTCATCAGTCATTTTATTTTTTTTTAAACAACTGCCAGTCTCAAATACTGAAAAGGAAGACGTATGATTAAAATATACATGAATGCTAGTTGTGTGCAGGTGACCTACTTGTTAAAGAACAGCCACAGACGGAAATATCTTTGTTCTATTTTCAGCTGTCAGGGCAGCCTCATTTCAAGCTGGTACGATTCTTATGCCCTTGTTCTTCCTGGGACAAACTCTAAGATTCATTTTACTAACTACAGTAATAGTAATAATGTGCATACTTTTGGGGGAAAAATGAGAATATTATTATGTTGAAAAGACCAGACACAAGTGTTCTGGGTATTTATTTTTAGAAATTGCATAAAAACTCCAAGTATATCTACTTTTTCTAAACATTCATTCTTTCCAGAATCTCAGGATTCTGAAACTTGCTTGTCTATAGGTTCCCTTCTCTATTGAACAAAAGAGGAAAAGTAGCCACCTGAAAAGGTGTGAAACACCTAGAGTATGTGCATATATTTCTTGCCTAATATAATGCTTTTCCTAAAAGTGCACAACAAATAGAGAAGTTTTCAGATAAATAGTATCAGTTTATTTCCTGTGGATAGAACATTTAGCATCTAATATTAAAATAATTCCATATTTCCAGAGCTATACCATGGCTTAGGAGGAAATTTATCTCCCAAAATGATATTACAGTGACACCAATATGTCTGTTTCTGCATTTATCTCCTATGAAACATGTCTAATTTTCAGAAAAGAAAACATACTAAGAGGAACATGTGGAATAACAACAGAAGGAAAGAAGTAGACATTTAATATTATACTCCTTGTTACTCTTTTCAGAAGATATATTAGAAAAAAAGTAATTAGATCTATTAGAAGAAATTAACATACAAACCAAAGTTTATCAGTTACAGGTTTACATGGGCTTCTTCCTTTTGATCTTGCCAAATGGCACTGTATGAACATAAATGAATTTGTGAGAGATAGAACAAATACAGCTCTTACCTTGGCAGATTATACAATGGTGCCATTCTAAAGCAGGCAACTACTGCTCTTTTTCTCTGTTTGGACAGCAGTTTATGCCACACTGCTTTTTTGGACCGCTGAGGGTGCTCAACCTGTTACATAAAATACACATGGAAAAATAAACAATGTGGCAATGTCCCTACTCTCTGGGCATAGTAATAATACCAAAAATGTGAAATAACACATAAATCAAGTGTAAAGATAACAGAAGAATAAGACGGGAAAAAGTGTTAGACATAGTTTAAGTGATCAGCCAAATTATAGAATCAGAACATTGAAAATCAATCTGGAAGCAAAAAATCACCCTTTCCTTTTATGATATATTCTTCTTTCTTATTTCATCCTGCTTCCTATATCTTTTAGAAAGAACATTGAGGTCATCTCTCAGGAAATCTTAACTTTTAATACAAAGAATCTTCACTCCTCCTATCTTTCATATGCAGCTCTTTGCATATGTACAGGTAAACCGTATACCTCTACATTGCCTCAGACAACAATTTTAAAGCAATCATCTTAAATAAAATTAACATTTCATTTAACCTACACAACTCTTGTAGAGTGTAGGTAGAGGTATGTCTTCTGTGTAGAGTTGGTTGGTCATGGGGGTTTTGTTCATTTCTTTTACGGACAACTGTGCTAGTGAAATAATAGCTCCTCTGCCTTCCAACATCATCGAAGGAGTCAATGGAAGTTAACAACTCTACCCTACCCTAAAAACTTGGTGATTCTTGCTTGTAATAAAATAAAGTATTTTATTTAAAATATGTAGTGATGATGATGCTTATGTAGACTCAATATTCAATTCAAACATAGTTAACCAAGAAGATTTTTCTAGTTTAGCGAAATACAAAAATTTATTCACAGTTAAAATGGGAAACATTTATTAAAACAGACTAAAATGCTGCCAAGCATCCAGTAAGTATCAATCTTGTAAGATTAAATGGCGATATTCTAAAACAAGTTCCTTCCAAAAGATAAAATACAATTGAAAAATATCTGTTAGGAGAAAAGACAAAAAAGTGTTCACTGCAAACACAGAAAACAAAGCACCAATAATGTGAAAGTTAGGTAACTAAAACCAAACCTGACAGTTAGGTAATTAGTAATATCTTCACAAAAAACTATAAAATCCTCTATACTTTCCCAAAAGAAATAGCCTCGGCCTACGCAAGCAGATCTCTGAAAATAATGAAAACAAAGAAGTTAGCTGTGATTGGGAAGAAAATATAAAGAATTAGCTGATCTTTGCCAGTGCAATAAGCAAAGCTTTTAGAGTGCGTATATATGGAGATCAGAGTATTTGTCTATAGAGAGCAAAGGATTACTCAAGACCATCATGAAAACAGACTCGGTGCTCCCATACTCATTATTTTTAGACACTGAATTATCTATTTCAGTAACAAAACTATTGGGGACTTGTCTATGGAAGATAAGTAAAGCTGTGGGGCCAAATCTTTAAAGAAATAGGTTCAAAGTATCCAGAATAGAAGCAGCCAGCATTTATTTCACTAATTGGTCTGATCAGAAGCATATGAAATGTCAATCTGGTATTACAATGGGAATCCATCCTATTCTTGATTACTGCAGAATTCTATTCAATGTAAGATTAATCCTATGGCACAATACAGAAAACACAAGGATCATTCCATGGCTTTCACTCTTGTGTACAATTTCCTCAAACTACATAAGCTTAATCAATTTATATACATGAAGATACAGCTAAAATGCCAGCAATCAAGAGACTGTATATGCTCTTTGAGCTCAAATAGTCTAATACTGAATTATGCAACTCTGTATATGCCAGTTTCCTCTCAGCTCAGTTAACTTTGATAAAAAAAAGGGTAAAAGACAAAACCTTTTGTCCCCATCATTTCAAGCATTTCTCTACTCTTCCTTCTTCCTCACAGCCACCTTGTATCTTCAAATTGACCCCCTATCTCCTCTCTCTCTCTCTCACAGGCTAACCATGACTGCCAGGGATTTACTTCCACATTCTATGACTTTTTGCTTGCTCCACACATATTCAATAACAGGTAAAATACAGCGATTTCTCTTCATCTTCTTCTATCAAACTGTGTAAGGCTGATGAACTTAGAGACAGTCTATATTAAGGCTGGCAAATTATATGTCGAAGAGTTGTGTGGTGCAACAGCCAGGACACAGGGATTCACACCAGCACACTTTGTGCATTCCAAGATCTCTGAAAATCACTTTTAGCAATCAAGTACTGCACAGTGTATACACAAGCACTTTCACCCATCTCTCTGATTACTACTCGACTGAATGAGTGTTCTCACCACAATATTGAAACTTCCTGACACATAGTACGAAAGCCTGTGTCAGGCATTTGAATCAAACCGACTCAGCTAATGAGAGGGCAAGAGAACCTTGAACTCTCAAATGTTCTTTGAAAAGCGAAAAAAAAAAAACCAAGCCCCAAGCAAATTTTATACACTAACAATCCAGTAAGTAAAATGGGCCAACTAAATTTATCATGTAGTCTTTGACTTGTAAAATGTACTGACATAGGGTATGGATTTTTTTATTTCTTAAAGAGAGACAAAATACAAAATTCTAACACTGCTAGTGGTAAGAAGGACACAAAATAAATTACAGATTTTTTTTTTAATGAAAGTTACTATAGTTTAGGTCACACGTGAAGCTCATATTTTTATACAAGAGTATTAGATAAAACAACAGAGCTTCATGCCAGATTCTGAAACATGTTAATACTCTGCCAGAACTTTCTCAGAAAAATCATTCCTCCATCCTGCTTCTATTATTTCTTGAATAAAGCAAGTAGTATTCAATCTGGCCAGGTTAACCTTGGTTTGTATTCACTATTGCATGAGCACAAATGAGTCCTGAGTTCATGTTTGCAAGCAGTCTGCTGGACCACCAAAGAACAGCCTTGCAAAAACTTCCAGATTATAAAGAATTATCTGAATTTCAATGTCAGTTTGATTTTGTAAATGCATATATGATTGCACACATTCATGCAAACTTCCATACAGTTTTTGTCAAGTAGATATCCTTCTTGCCATTTTTTAACTAGTCTATAGTAAATATCATTCTAAAGTCAGCACTAGAGAAGCTGTGTAACAAATAATCTGACTATCCTACTGTAGACAGCTCTAATATGCAGCTTCTAATCAGATATTTATGCAGACAGCTTTAAATTTCTTGCTACTTCAACAATTCAAGAATCTCAACTGAGGAAAAATACCTTGAAAATCTGCATTTTTTCAACAAGTATGTCTCATGGACATTTCATGGTCCATGGGCAATTAGTGATTACTTCCTATCAGGTGAAATGCACCAGAAGGAAGCTAAAACATAGGTATCTCTTTCTTAGTCCTTTTCCAAATAAATGCTTACTGGAGATGTTGTAAACATACTATGTGATAAATGCATCCTGGGATGTATCAGGAGAAGCATAGCCAGCAGACCAAGAGAGGAGATTCTTCCCCTTTGCTCTTGGGAGACCCCACCTCAAATATTGCGTCCCGTTTTGGTGCCCCCACCATAAGAGGAATGTGGATCTGTTGGAGCATGTTCAGAGGAGGGCCACAAGGATGATCCAGGGACTGGAGCACCTTTGCTATGAGGACAGGCTGCGGGAGCTGGGATTGTTCAATCTTGAAAACAGAAGGCTTCGGGGGGACCTAATAGCTGCCTTCCAGTACCTGAAGGGAACCCACAGGAAGGCTGGGGAGGGACTTTCTACAAGAGTGTCCACTGATAGGACAAGGGGAAATGGGTTTAAGTTGAAGGAGAATAGATTTAGATTAGATCTTAGGAAGAAATTCCTCAGTACGAGGGTGGCAAGACTTTGGAATAAATTGCCCAGAGACATTGTGGCTGCCCCCTCCCTGGAGGTGTTCAAGGCCAGGTTGGACAGGGCCTTGAGCAGCCTGATCTAGTTGAGAGGCGTCCCTGCTCACGACAGGGAGGTTGGATTAGATGATCTCCGAGGTCCCTTCCAACCTAAGATATTCTATGATTCTATGAATATTGGATTCCAAAAGACAAGACAAAGCATGTAAACAGTAGCTAACAAAAGAAAAAACGATATAAAATTGAATACAGAAGGTTAAAGTATAAAAGAAAAGTTGAATGCTTTTGTTTAGACTGAGAAGCAACGAAATTGGGAATATGTGTCTAACCTGTTCAAGGTGAAACAGTACATTGGCTATATCAAGGACTCTTTCCACAGTCTTCTCTGGATCTGAGGAATCTTCAGTCCTGTTTGGTAAATCTTTGTAAAGTGCCATCTGCCACCTAATGGCGGGATCCTCAAGCTGCAGGAGAAAGATTTCACATCACCAAGGCAAGAAGTACCAAACACAGGGGCAAACAGTTTAGTGAGTACAGAAACTGCTTCAAACAGCAACAGAAGCACTTCATACGGCTAACTCACGCCTTTACATGACTAACTCATGCAGTGTCCACTACACTGACCGAGAGAACAAAACTAAAGACTGATTTGTGCAGTGTTTCTTGAGACCTCCCAGAGGACTAAAAGTCCTCTCATACAAAGAGAAAATGATCATGGGCCAACAAACAGCACTGGCACCAGCAATGAATATACTATTCGAGGAAAAGTAATGAACACAAGTTAGACAGACATAACATTGCACATTGACTTATTAACGGTTATTAAAACAAACAACGAAAAAGTTGTTGTCCTACTAGTTGGGATCAGTCATGGAAATTAGTAATATTAGCATTATGTATATCTAATTTTTTTCATTTTACTTTTTTCAATTGTTAGAAAATCCTGATTTTACTGATTACTAGCTAAAAAATGAAAAGTTAATTTATGAAACATGAATTCAGGACACATTTGCTTATTAGCCTACAAATATCAAACAGTAAGAAGCAAAATGTTTTTCTTATTTTTCTCTTTATATTTCATTTTTTCCATTCCAGTGACCTGTGATTCCCTGTTTTACCATTAGCAATCTCTTATTTGGTTCATGTTGTCTCAACAGTGTTTCTGTTAATCAACAGTGATGCAACACACTTTGCAATCATTTTTTGTGCCGAAGACACTGGAAACAGATGCAATGTGTAACCCATTTTATTGAGAGCTGTGGCCAGTGAGTATTCCTGATGGTGCATTTTAGGTTCAAGTCACACTGGCATGGATTCTTAGAGCATTTAGGAGTCTAAACCCTACAGATTCCAATAGGGCTTAAACTCGTCACTTACTTTTCTAAAACATCTTTGTGGATCCAGATTTCAATTTGTACCTAAGTAACGCTAATTCACCTCCATAAAACATCTTACGATATGTAGTTTACTTAAGTTCCAGGAATGATTATAAACTTACACAGACGCTCAGTAATAGCTTATTACAACCTAGAAAGCCACAATTGCCGGGCATTTCTTCCACCTTTCGGCTTTTCCATTTCTTAACAATTGTCACATCCACAGTCTTTGTGTGAGCATTTGAATGGTTCATCATGAATGGATAGTTCACAAAAGACTTTTTAATCACAGGTGGAGATGTCTTTTGATCTGAGGACTCCTCACATTCTATCAAGGTAGAGCTTTTTTGTATAGGTAGTTTTCTAAGGGTATGAGTAGTTGACATTTCAAGGTGTGAATTAACATGGCTGGAAGAAGGTTTTGGTGACTTGAGCTTCATCCATGTCAAAATGAATGCAAGTTTCATCATCAATTTCTTGAAATAAAAGGCTTGGTACTGAGTAACAACATGCAGGCATGCAAGGAAAGGAAAGACAGAAACAGGGTGAAGACAAATGTAGACAAAGGTAGACAAATGCATGAAATAGACGCCACAACATTAATAGCTAAAGATTCAGATGATTCTCAAACACCTCAAGTTTTCCAAAAAGAAATCAAGAGAAATTACATTTTAGCTCCAACACAAATGACAGAACATGGTGGTTGTGAGAAGCAGAAGTAGTTAACAGAAAACAACTTTTGAAGAAAGAATATTCGTATAGTTGGAAGAAAATCAACCTTTCCAAGAAGTGGTACTTTCCCTCTGTTTTGAAAGCCACCTTACTTAATCATCATTATAACTAAGCTATGTATTAATTCATAACATTAAATAATAATTTAAATTTATAAGATCATTTGGCCTATATCCCTTTTATGTTCAACTCAGACAACAAAAGGGTAGTGTATGCATATAGCACAACGGCATCATTTTTCTTAATAATAAACATCATACTTGACTGTATCTGACATGTACTCGATTCATTCACAACAATGATTGAATACTAATGACATCAGAGAATTACAGAATAAATTGTATTGTAAATAACTAATAAATTCAACTTTTATACTTTTATGTATTATATATTTTTAAATCCTTAAATACTTAAATATTTATTACACTTTCAAATAATTAAATTATACACTAGGTTTTAATGTGAACTCTAGAATGTGCTAGGGCTGAATAATTAATAAAAAGATTATTTCAAGCCACTGAGAACAAACTACATAGCAGCAGATAACAAATCATAATAAAGATAAATGCAATAATAAATTAAATTTTTTAAGTCCCAGAATGCTGTATTTTGTCCAGAGTTGAGTTGACTACTTTTCACTCACAGGTCAAAACCGGAGCTTTTCAAAATTAGTAAAGCAACGCGTAGGTAGCTATAAAATAAAAGATAGCTACAATAGCTATTTAGCTTTGTTAGCTATGTATTACATGGTTTCCTTTCAGAATGTCATCTTCCTTAGGAATTTATTTTACAATTAGAATCATCCAAAGTCACTGCTGAAAACTTTACAGCTGGAAAATTTGTCACTGCGTACTTTTTGATTTGCTAAGATTATTTCCTTCTTAATTATCAAGGTACCATGAAATTTCATCATGAAATTTAAAAGTACTTTCATTCTTATGTTATAAAGAGAGGATATGATATGTTGGTGAACAATAGTAAACTCGTAATTGAAGCAAAGGAAGTTTCTGAAGAGAAAACACAGATCAAGGTATCAAGAAGTATCATTACTCCAAGGCAATAAAGCAGTAACAGACAGAATTGCCTTATTCGCAGTATGCAGAATGTAATCCTGAAGAAGCAAAACAGAAACTGCATTATTTAAAACAGGAGGACAAGTGCTAAGAAGCAGCATGAAATGCCAGGCAATACTTACAACTGCATGGCTCACAAAATGACAGTATACACATACTGAAAATGTCAGAACAGAAATACCTATCTTTATCATTAAGAAAACATTACTGGAGTTTACACACAAAAACACAACACATTTAAGGATTGTATGTTCATGGCATGCACATTGCTTAAGTACTGTTGCTCGTCATAAATTCTTTTTTTTTAATAGCACTTTTTTCTATTTCTTCTGCTTCTCAGTACATAATAGTATCTGCTTTATAAGGACAAGCATTTCAAGCTTTTTTTAGGATTTAACCAAATCTTGTTTTCAGTGGTAACCTTTTCTATGTGCAATACCTATAAAGTAAAGATATTGGACTTTTATTTGAATTATTTTATGAAAAATGCTAATTGTTAGCTTTGCAGACTGATGTTTCTTCTTGTGAGCTCCCAAAAACAGTAACCTACATTAATCTTGCTTGACATTGCAGTAATATACAGCAAACATAAGATGGAAGAAAATTAGTCTTCAGATATTATTCAGGAAGAGCCATCCTATTATCAAGCCATTAAAAAAACCCAACAAACCAGACTTCTATTGCCATGCACTGAATTGCAGTGGAACCTAGACTTCTGGATGATTCTTAAATACCCTTTCAGAAAAAAAGCACCAGATTTCCAACTCACATGCTAATTCTCTTGTAACCATTTAACAGGCACAAGAAACACTAGTTAGTTTCTTTCTTCAGGTGAATAAAACCTGGGGCAGTGGGAGGAAGTAAAGAACAATCCTAAATGAGGCACCATCCATAGGTCTGATTCCATCTTCCTTCAATACAGAAGAAACATACAAAATTTTATTACACTTCTGTACCATGGTCTCTTCTTTGCCATTATTTGAAGCTTTAAAAAATAGTTCAACTACACTGGGCCATTTCAGGGCTTTTTTCCCTAGGGCTATGCATCTGCCAGTAACTGGAACTCAATAACAAATATCTAAACTTTTCCCAAAATACTTTCTTTTCCCTGTGCTAAAAAAACTGGAACTACACCAAACAAAGTTGAGATTTTTCACCTCACAGAGTATGCCAAAGCGGCAGCTCCCTTTTCCCTTACATTTCAAATTGACACAAAAAAATTTTGAGCATTTTGCAGATTCTATCACGAACTGTTTAAACAGTGATAGACCTTGATTCTATCTCCAATCTCATATTGTTGGTGTGCATAGGCAGGGATTTGAAGCGCCACACATTACTATGCATAATACATATATAAACACATTAAAAATCTACCACTTAACAATTCACTTGAACAAGTTACTTGAGAGAAAAAAGGACTAGAAGTTACCCTAATGAACCAAAGCAGGTTGTCATTATATGGCAGCAATAAATTAATTTAAGGCAAGACAAACAAATCATATTTAAAAACTGCACATAGATTACCTTGCCCTGGAGATGAAGATTACTGCGGATGATATCTCGTACTTCATCTTCAGTATCTTTCTGTCAATAAATTACAAATCATATAAATTAGGAATAAAAAGCAACTAAGAAAGGATATTGTTCGTATAAATTACAACCTTGGCCTTAGTCCAGATGATGAATAATGCTGACAATGTGAAATTTTGAAGAAAACCTCAGTGTCAATATGCCTTTTTGTATCAGGCCTGAGTTAGCCATATCCAAGCTCACAGGAACAAGTTCTGGATGACATCATTCATATTTATCCGAAGTAACACACTAAATGTAACTCTGAATTAAAATTACTAGCATATGCATATACTAAAAAAAATTTCACCAAATGAAATCAGTATAATGAACACAGTCTTCTCTGATTTGATTTCTGTTTCTTTTGGAAACAGATTATTTATATCATAATACTTAATTATTAACTATATTGATATAATAATACTTTATTAACATTCAGTTCAGCTGTTTGGAGGTCATATAACCCCCTAAGGTGTATAAAGTATCATAGCTTGAAAAAGAAGTATATTCAAAATTATATGAAATCACATTATTGCATTGTGAGTTTATTCCTAGTAGAATCACTTCTAAAGCAGCCTATCTCTACAGAAATTCTTGTGCATAAACAAGGGGTCAGCATTAAGACCTCATCTGATTGTGATCAAAAGGAATCAGTTCCAATATTGGCCACAGAAGTTCAGAAACATCAAGTTCTTATTTGCACTTCCAAATTCAAGTTTTGTAAAATAAAATATAATTTAACATTAAAAATTAAGATACAGAAATAACAGTTTTAATTTAAAAATGTGTCATCTCTATCCATGTATTGATCATTTAGAAAATAAGTATGTCCAAATTGAAATGTTTTGTGTCTTAAAAATGAGAGTATGCAGATTACGATCTTCCATAATCACCCACTGTACCTTTACATAACAGATTTATAGTCTTGATTATTTGTGTCATGCTGTAAGAATGAGTATGAAGAGGAAGTATTCAAGGAATTGCATTAGTAAAATATTTCTACGGTTTAGAAGTGCAAAAAGAGCACCTACCATACTGAACCTATTTTTGGCCAGCGCAATTAGCTCTTGGTCTCCAGGAGCACAAATATTTAGGCCAATGGGAAGCAATCTCTTCAGCGCTGCCACAATGAGAGAGGTCTGCATAGAGTACCGGTCACCTTTTCGCTTCATCTTCTTCCTTTCCTGGTCAGAAACTGCTGCCTGCAGCATAAAGCAAAGATGAAAAAAAAATCCAATATTAAATAAAAAAAAATTTCAGTAGCTATGTTGTACTTGTCTCTGTTTTGACAATTTTCTTACTAACTATACAGCTGAAACCCTATCCAATGGAACTGCCATTATATCATTGCCAATATTTTGCACCAGTATCTTGGAAGTTCACTGTGTTTCTCAAATGCCTATGTTTTGATTCTCAGCACAGTTTTTTCAACAGATATTGTTAGCAAAAAAAAAAAAAAGAAAAAGCTTCTCTAGAATCCTCCTGTCTCTTTCCTGCAAAATAAAAATACAAAAATACTTTACACTACCTTGGACATCTTAGATTTGGTGTCACTGATAAGGAAAGACATGTTGTTGATTTCATTTTGTACCACAAAGTTCTGCTCTTCTCTTTTGAAATTCTGGAAACATAAAGAAGATCTCAGTTAGAAGCCCTTCTGATAAATTAGGAATTTAGCTTAACAAACATTAAATAAAAATATTAACTAACTGGAAATTTGGAAAATCATGACTGCCAAGAGGCTCAAGCAGACAGAATGTACAATTTAGAGAAAATTACTTCAATGAGACAACTTCTAGTAATTTAGTAGCCACATATCCTGTTTACGGAAGAAGACTTTGGGGGTGAAAATAACAGCTTTTAAAAAATAAAAGAAAAAAGAAAAAAAGGTAAGAGGACAGACCTCAATGAGCTTAATATACTAAAGTCCAAAAACTCCACAACAAACAACGATTATCAGTGTTACTATGCTACAAAACACCTATCAACTCCTCTAGCTACTCAGGCATTTCAAAAGTTTCAGAAGACATCCCATATGCAGTTTCACTTCTTCCATTAAATGTGTTTTCCCAAACACAGCCATTAAGTAATTTATCTGCCTACTAAGAAATCTAATTAAAAAGAAGTATTTACCAAGGAATTACTTACATGAGACTTGGACCAATAAATGAAGACCTCAGCCACCATGCGGAACAATTCTTCTGCTTCAGAGTTGGGCTCTTTCAGCCATTTTGCCCTACAGTTCGGTAAAAGGGTGGAAATGTGGATGATCCTCACCGGTTTTAAGCTTTGAAATCAGTTTTCAACATTTCACGAGGATACGAGTCAACAAAACCAAACATGCATGCTTTTAATCTTTTCTGGTAGCAGTGTCTTTTTGATGTCATGTCCCATTTCAAAACCCTTAAAATCCTTTTATATTAATCCTAGGTCTAACCCAAAAGACCTTTTTTTGTTGTTGTTTTCTTCTGAAAAATACCCCAGCTCGGCCTAAAAGTCATAAAGCACCGGCTTGAGCAAGTTCACGACTGGCAGGCTGAGTAAAAGCTACTTTAATTCTGTGCTAGGGATATCAAGGGGTAAAAGATGGCATCAATTAAGAGGAAGATTTTAATAGATTCATTGACCTATTCCTCTCCACATACCTGTTATAGTCCACAAATCTAATCAACAAAGGGTAGAAGGCATAGAGGTCCCGTGCCAAAGTGGTGAACTCATCTAGGATGAGCAGTTCAGACTCCGACATGTCACCTCTGCCTTCTGCTCTTAGATGTTCTTCATCCGATACAACCACTGCTGCTTTTTTCTTTAGCTTATCCATCAGTGGCAGGAAGTGTGTCTTTAAGAGCTGTGGCTTCGCTTTGCTTATGATGGGCTGGGAAAAAACTATTTAAGGCAATGAATATTATAATATATACCTGGCCACAAAATATAAACTTTTACCTTCCCCCTCTTTCTTGGATCTTATTTTAGGCTACAGAGTAAAATCCTGCCCCCATTGAAATCAGCAGAAGTTCTGCCAAGAATTAAATGTGATCAGGATTTCACTTAGTCAATTAACTTAGTCACTACGAGGGCAGAAATTACAAGCTCATAAACTAAGCTTGTAAGATCGTAAAACTGGAAATGCCTCTTCACTGGCATTTTATCAAAATATTGCTATTTGCCTGCATAATTTTACTGAGTAACACAAACGCCGTTTAATGGTATGTATGGGTGGATACATACATAGTTCCATAGTGTGCACACAAGATTTCTCAGCCACTGGCTTCTCTTTCCAACCTTGCTTTTCAGCTTGAGTGAAGGAGAACTGGAGAGCATGCTTTGGTTATTTGCAGACCTACTGAAACAGCCTGTCTGTATTTCTTAGGCACATTAGGACAGTGGAAGTCTTGTGAGTAGACAGAAAGAAAGCCGATTCAACCATTCATAGGCTAGCCATTTGAGATTTGATAGCAGACGCGTTTTGCAAATCTACTCATAAAAATGAATATGCAAATTAACACTTGATCTAGGCCCATTAGTGTAAAACCTTTTGTGGCCTACCCATTAGATTACAAAGAATTTCATGCAGTTACCACTTATCCTTAGAGTGCATTGGTAACTCTCAAAAGACTAGGAATTTAAACTGCGACCATGAATGAAACTACTACTGCAGTACATACTGAAAGGTTGTAAGAAAGTCTAATTGAGAAACTGAATTTAGAACACTGTAGTGACTTTTCCTGACAGATCATAACATCGAGAAATAAAGCATTTTAAAATAAATTGTAAGGTGTTATCACAGTGAAGTTAATATAAGGTTTACTAAATGACACATGTATTTCCACATTTCACTGTAATAGGTATGTTAGATACAGAGCTTCAAAACAATATTTTAAGAATCCAGAACTCATACAGAATATTGAGGAACTGTGTAACGCCCATAAAAGAAAACTCGCTACATAATGAATATGGGCTAAATAGTCTTTTAATTCCATATCCTGTAAAATGCATATGTGCGTATTCTGGGGAAAAAGAAACAGTCTACTATACTTCTTACATTATTTATTAAGTGACTAAAGCATACTCCATACACTGCTCTTTCTTTGTATTTAACATTTCTGGTTCATTAAGATCTGTATTGTTTCAAAACATAAGAATATGAGTGTTCTACTCCAGTTTTAACTGGGTACATTTATACAGGAATTCAGAGTGTATATGTGTGTGTGTGTATATATATATGCACACACATGCTGAATATATACACATTTATCCTTACTTGCTTCTTTATTCATTTATTTACTTTTACATCTTACCTGCTAATCTCTTCATCCAGGCTCCCTCATCAATACCAAGGTTGTTATAGATGATTTTCAGTATGTTACCCAACAGAGTGTTCATGTGCTCTGATGTCAAGGCTGTGCAACACATTTCAGCCTTTTCAGGGTTGTTTTCTGGCCCATGCTCCCACCAGTGTGACATGTAACTACATAGCATAGGCAGTATTACTTCCATGATATGTGGCATTTGTGTGTAACGAATACCAGACTCAGCCAGTTCCACAATTTCTTCCATTAGCTTCGTCAAGGAAGGAATATTTGGGCAAACCTCTTCTACACTAGTAGGCAAACTGAGAACTATTGACAAAAACAAAATAATAGAAAAATAAAGTCATAGATGAAAAATAATTATTTTCAATTGCTATTTCGTCCAACTTTTATTTTCTATTTACATTTATGCCCTCCCAATACAAGGAAAAAAAAGCAAACCAAAAACCAACAAACCCATAAACACAATGGTAAAGAACAGCTATAAGCTTCATTAATAAAACTTTCTATAATATTTCCTATACAGAAGCTTCAACAATGTAATTATTACAGAATGAATTCAGAAAAATCAGATGCTGCTTGCTATATTCCAAATGAAGCTTAAATTTCAGAATTTCTTCCAATATAAGCTAAGCAGTCGAGGAAACAAACTGATACACTGAAACATCTCTCCATAACACATCAGAAGAGACCTAGAACACTAGTAGGAGGAAAAAAAAATCATGAGTAGTGCAGACTCTGGGAAACTGACTTCTGGAGGTGAATTTCTGATTGCAAATCTTTACTTTTCAAATTATTTGAATTATCAACTCCTTCCTCTGAGAAGGCACTGCAGTTGCCTTTATTTTCTGCAGGCAGTCTTTTTCATCTACAAATAAATATCTCTAAGCACAATTATTAGCTCTTGAATGTCTAATATCCTGATGTAAACATACAATTAGATATACAGGTATCTATATACTGAAAATTAGCTTGTAGCTTGTGGATCTAAATGTTTGTAGTAACATGGCCTAAGGCTAGTCTTTTTCCAAAAGAAATCTCTTTTATTTCTACCCAAATACATTTTATGCAGCCACTGCAGAATCTCCTTAAAGCTTAGTGCAATTTTGAAAATAAATTTCTGCTAAAAATCAACAAAAATACAGCTGATTGTCATTCTAGTTCTATTTAAATAGCTAGTATATACATGGTAAGCAAGTACAGCTGTTGATATTTTCAAGATATCATTCCTCTATGAGGAATAAATCTAGTATGCTCCCTTTTTTAAAAAAATGATGGTGAAATTATAAAATGGATGTCATTATAAACCGGTGTCTTATACACCATCATCTACATACATCTGTGATATAATTCATACTTGGCCTATTTGCAGAGTTTGTACAGTTCTACTGCAACAGTTTTTCTATTTACATTAGGAACAAGTAGTCCTTATGGCATTATTCAACAAAAACATCGCTACGTTTAGAAACATACAATAATTGGTTTTACTAGACTCAGACTCAGCCCATCGATTTAGGAAAGAAATACAAAAAGAGATTACAAGAACATACTTGCACTATAAAATGTATGCAAAAACACATGTATTAAGGCGAGAAGCATTTATAGTGAAACTGTGTTTTCACAACCATTAGGTGAGTTTTTTAAAATACCTGCTCTGTCTCTTGCATTCTTGGTATTGTAAATTGAGTAGATATTATGTTTGTTCAAATGAGTTTCCAAAAAAGCCACTGGAAAGGCACCTGAGAAAGCAGCCAAGCATTCTCCTAGTGCTGATCGTTGCCTGTGAATTAACAAACATTGTTAAGTATAAACACCTGGTTATACCTCAGGGTAGTTGTATATCAGCCTTATTTTTATTCTGAGTTGAGTTCATCTCAGAGATGACAGATGATAGCCACCAGCACAAGAACAGGTAATAGAATCTGAAGTCCAGCAACCCTCTGCTAATATACGAATGAAATGTTAGGACATAAAATGTCAAAGGTGGCCAACTTCACTGAGCACAAATGAGGAGCATGCAGGGAAAACTCAAACTCATAATAACAAGGCCTCCTGTTCTAGCACTTTCCTCAGTTTTACTGACTTTATATCCTCTACCATTAAGAAAAAGCTACTGAATAGACCAAGAGACAAAATATGCTATCATTTTATTTGAGTGATATAATTTCCTTTTTTTCTGAGAAATAGGAATAATCAACCTTGATCTAGCGTGAAAGTCAAGTCCTTCAGAGAGTGGAAAATTGCTTCAACTGATCAATAACTCTGAAAGTTTTGAACAAAAACATTGCTCTAATCTCTTCAAAAATACAACATTTATTTGATAATCAAAAAAAGCCTTAAATGTGTCAAAATTATGAAAAGCCTATCTCTAGGAAGAAGTGATTGATCCCCTGTCATTTCACTTGAGTCCTTCAGGGGACATTTAAAACTATCGTTTCTGACTTCCAATTCAGTTATCAGAGCAGATTTTAGGCATGAGAAATCCTTAGCTGCTGAAGCTGAGCCAGACAAACCAATGTTGTGATTTAAAAATGTTCATCTTCATTCTATAGTTTATCTCATTTTAGGAACCTCAGAACAGTGCTAGTCACTACACAGAAACTATTCAGTTTCAAGTAAGTTAGAGGTACCTAAGTAATTCTATTTTTTAGCTCACTAAGGTATACACAGACCAAATGTAATTTGGAGGGAGGTTAGCAGATAAATAGATATACAAAAAAAGCAAATACAAAGCCCTCATTTCCCTAAAAATTGAGCTAGAAAGAAGTAGCATTATATGAGTGACCTATTAAATTTAGGGTAAAGAGGGCATTAGGGTATTTCTTTCCAAGAAAAAAAATGTACATCAGAGTTAAAGAACACATAAGGAAGAATTATAACACCAGCTAAGCTGAATGACACATTTTTACAACTGATCCTCATTTCAAGTCAATCTCAAATCAAGTAATATTTCTTGTAAAGTCAGATAATTTTTATATAATTTCTGTTTTAATTAAGAAATATATTTTGCAAATATAGAATGCAACATTTTAAGTGTATTATAGTAAATGCAGCTACATCTTTCCAACAACAATCTCTTCCTATATTCATTTCTTCACTGTAAATTCGTGAAGCTAAATATAAACACAAATACGAAAAATAGACGAACATTTTTTTCTTCTTACCGCTCTACATAGATACTCTTGCTGGTTCCCAGAGCATATAAACTGGCCAATATTCTGTAACAGGAGACCTGAACATCTTCCACTAAAGAGAAGAAAATTATAGGTATAAAGAGATTTTTCTTTGCAATACACTTCAGCAGAATTAAAATACATTTCTTTTGACAATAATTGAATGATATTAAGCTATCAAAGCAATTCACAGCAATCCTTCTCTGAATACAAAAATCTTCTGCGCTGAGTGCCACAGTTTCTACTAAAAATCTTCCATTTACTTCAATGTCAAGTTATGAGCTACGGGAGTGAACATAATTCACTTGTGCACTAACTTTCTGAAATTAATAGCATACCACCTATTTACAGATAACATCTAATTCCATAATCTTAGAATTTATTAACTTAATAGCTATAAAAAATATGTCAGTAAGTATTTTCTAGTTTGTCTGTTGCACTGAAGAAAGTTTCATGGCAAATGAAACATAGTGATGAAAGTAAAAAAAAAGTATTAAGGAAGAAATCAATTTACAAATATAACACCACTGTATAAAACACATTACAAAAGAAAAATAATCCTGTTAAGAAGGCATTTAATTCTTTTAAACACAGTTTAGATTTTTTAAAATTTAGACCAAGATACCAGTTCATAGCATGTACTTAATTTACACTTCACATTGAGAAAGGATTAAAAAAAGAAATAATCCTTTAGTCCTTAATGGACATGTCACCAAATCATGTTGCGAAATTATCAAATGTTTCAGTCACAAAAATGTGAGAACAATCCTAATATCGGTTGGAAAAAAATGCTTTTTCAATGCCAGTTGCAGTAATAGCATAACAATAGTGTAAGAACCATCCAGAAGGACAACACTCCCATTCTTTCCATATATTTTTTCTTAAGTCTCTCTCACAGCGCTATCTTCCCCCAGTATGCAACAAAACATCAAGAGTGAAGTAGCATAGGACTTAATGGGCTGGGAGAGTGTACAAGACAGTACATCTACAAGATAATGCTTGAATTCTTCAGGAGCAACTTCCACGTTTCCTTGGGATGACAGAATAACATCATTCTCATAGTATAACCTCATTTATAGATGGAGCAAAGACAAATTAATTTACACAAGGTAATTTTTCACACAAGAAGGAAGTCACAGTAAATCTGTGGTAAAGACAAACAAAATCAAGCCTCCTACAGCAATTGTCTGATTAAGTCAATGACAATTTTGTCAAACTGACATGGGATTTGTCCTTTTCTAGGAGTCTAGTAATGCTTACTGCACGTCGCTACACATATCTTAGTGGCCTGGCACTTCTAAGTAATACATACATATCAAATCTTCGCCAAACTGGTGCTGTCCAATATGCTCAAATAATGAAGATAGTACTGGCAGGAGAGCAACTGTTGTATAATTAATGATTTGTGTAACTCCCTTTGGCTGGGTTCTGCTGTGTGTAAATTGGCCTTGCTTAAGATTTTCCATTGTTTTCTCCAGATCCTCAGCAGCATTGTCCAAAAATGCTCTCAATGCCATCTTAACAGATTCCAGGCCAGTTTTCATCACAGTCCTGCATACAGCATGCAAAAAGAATGAAAAGGAATATTCTATTAGACAAGCATGGAATATAGCCTAGTGTTGGCTTATATGAAACATAAAGATCTGAAGAAAAAAATCTTTCATCTATTAGATTTTGTAAAATCTTCTCACAGCAGAACAACCTACTAAAAAAAAAGTTTCATATGTTTCCTGCAGAACACAAGGATATTTTATCTGGTTTCTAACTGAAAAAAATAAAGCCCTTTTAACTTTATAATTTAAGTAATTCACTTGCCTTCAGAGGGGAAAAAAAAATCACCTAACAAAAAAGAAGGAGTAAGTCTGCAATTTATGAGTCTCAGAAGGGAACGACCTTAAGCTAGAACTCAGAAAGCCTTCCCAACCTTTATGGTCATATTTCTGCCTCCAGAATGAGGACATCAGAATGGAATGCGCCAAACCAATTAAATCTGCTTAAAATTAAATAAATAAATGCATTGATTACATAAGTATAACACCATGTTAAGTTATGTAATGACATATTCCAGGAGAATTATTACCATATTTGTTTTAACTAGCTCAATTACAGATTTCCTTTGTTTAAGGGAAGTATCCATTCAGGCATGTGTGAAATAAATCCAGGTGAAATTCTTTTGTAAATTGAATAACAGTCCAGTTATATTGTCTGTTTTGCAGAGCGAATATATACAGTTTCAGTGTCAGTCTTTTCAAACTTCCATGGAACCTCCAGGAATCCCTTAATTCCTGTCCGGAGCTATTGTTACATCAGTGTCAGTCTTTTCAAACTTCCATGGAACCTCCAGGAATCCCTTAATTCCTGTCTGGAGCTATTGTTACATGTCTACCAAGAGCTGAACTGGTGACCTCCACCTGCATCTGTATTCAGTCCATATAATTGCATGGAGCATGGACAATTTCTGACAAAAAACCCCAAGATATTGCAACAGCAGATCCATATTAATAACCACAATCATAACTCTACCCCACAGCAAATGGAAAATATAATTTGTTCATTCAAGGCACCATGAAGATACTGAGATAAAGAGCTACCTGCATGTAATTCAATAAAGAGCTGTCTTTACGAGTAAATGCAAAATGAAAAGAGTTACCTTGACTCACCCTGGAGGTAGTTTAAACTATCATGGTTTTTTTCACAGCTGCAAAGATCTAGAAGTCAACTTTCAGCATAGATCGTTGATTGTACAGTTAATGAAAATTTCCTTTGTATTTTAGAAAATACATTCAGTATTACCTTGCATCCAAGGTCTGGCCCAGTATATGAAGACAGTTGACTATTGATGTTGCATCATTTCCTAAACAGGGAGGAAAATTATCCATGAATTAAGCTGAGCATACTCTACAGCATACCTACACTCTGCTAACTGTATCTCTGGCTTTAATGAAAGAGTAAATGACACAGCAGAAGAGCAACTGAACTTCTGCATAACTTTAACATTCAAGTTGAAAAACATGCAGTTTGATGTTTTAGCCTTGTTTACACAAATGCAGTAACTAGAGGCAGTAAAGCATCTCTCATCAAATAGCTGAGGCAGTCAAGATGGAAGCACTTAAACGTGAGGTTAATTAGAGCTGCAGTGTATTGTCTGGCTTTCACCTAAGTTTTACAAATTTTGCTTTAAGTGATTCAAGTTTATCTAGACATTTACCTTCCTCCACTCAGGCTGTTAAACTTCACAAGCTGCTATTGCACAAAGAGAACATTTATATAAGATGTCTTCAAAAAACTTAGTTCCCTGGTGTTACAAATAGGCTGCAGTTATTTACAGCAGGATCAGGTGCAGCCCACGAGTAACAGTCTCTGACATAATATCTCCCACAGTCAATAATTTTTTTCACACTTACGTATGTAGGAAGAGAATCTACACACACCATGCCTTGTATGCATATGTACAATCCAAAATAGAATCATAGAATGGCCTAGGCTGGAAAGGACCTTAGAGATCATTTTAATCCAGCACTCCTGTCACCAGGGACGCCACCTCTCGACAAGATCAGGCAACACATGGGGACCGAACGGGAATCGAACCTGCGACCTTGGCATTGTTAGCACCACACTCAACTGACTGAGCTAGCCAGCCCTCAAATCTTGCCACGTACAAGACACCTCTAAGTTCACTTCTTAAATCCAGGACAGATTTAGGCTACAAAAATTTGACCCACAGCTTATTTGATGTATCTATGTAAAAAACCCTCAAAAATCTAAGTCTCTGCAAAAATGAAAACACCTTTTCTTGCTTCTCCATATAAAGTTTCTCAATTAAAAAACTAAGAAGAAACAAGTAGAATGCTTAACATACAATAAATTTCTGAAAATATTGTAATCCATATCCAATGTACTATACTTTCTCACCTGGGAGTTAATTCATTTGAAAATACAGACAAACAATTAAAATTAGTAACTGTTTCAGTGAAATAGAGACTGAAAACAGATAAATTTCAAGGAAGGAGTGGGAGTTTATTGCAGTACTGAGAATATTGTTTTGTGCTACCAAACTAGGAAGCATTGTGGTGTTCATCCACAGTAGATTAAACAAACCTCAACCACAGCTTCCATGGCTGCCCCTAGCCAGGCAGCCCCAGCCTCTTTGCACTGGTGTTCAGCAACGATGTAACAAGCAGATGAGAAAGCTGAGGTGGCCTAAAAAACTCCTACCAAAACTAAGCACCACAAAAGATTAAGGTGGGGTTTTTTTTGTCCGTTGCTATATTTTTCCTTACTATTTTACTTCTCTGGTGACAGGACTGCAGTGCTGACTGACTAAGAACAGAGTGCAGGGCTGGGCTAATGACAGAAGGGGTGGAGGGAAGTACTCAACGCAACCCAAATTTAAGACTGTGGCTTAGACTGTCCTAAAAAAGTACCTTAGCACTCGTCATGCAGGTGTGTATACACTGCACACTACAGTGCAGTATAGAGATGCTCACTCAAGTTCCCTGAAAATTTACACTGGCCATCTATGCATACAATGCATGTACATTTCAAGAGCCATGCTATTCATCAGGAATCAGGTACTTCGTATGCTACAACCAGGTAGAAGGATCAGAAATCCATCTAGCTATTCTGAAAACCAGACAAGCTTTAGGCATACCCCTGTAGCAGATAAAGCATGGGGTTGGCTCCACAGACTGGGATATCAAAGCAGAATTCACTGATCATGATGAATGCAGCCCCTTTCAATCTAAACTAATTCATATACTAGCATTTGACCAGTTTTATCCATGTGACACTAAAACCAGACTTTCAAAATTGTCATGGAACTGCTTTTCTGGAATGTCTCCTTCAGACAGCAGTTGCTAAAGAATCGTAGAAAATGCAATTTGCTATAAAAGACAGCTTTAGGTTCAGTGTGTCTTTCTTTTGTTCCATTATATGAATTTAGTTGTTTTCACTGTGTTTCTAAAACAAAAGCTCACAAGAAAGAGTACTTTTTAATATTTTACTTAAAATGCCACAGCTAAAACTCAGAAGATAAACCTTTTAAATTGAACATTTCCAGAATAAATTTGCTTCCAACCTGAGGTTAGAAGTCAATTTTAGAAGACTATCTTATTTTTTCTTTAAACTGAGTTTTAAGGGGGTTTCTAATGAAACTAGTTCTATTACTATTGCCATTCTATTACTATTTTACAGTTTACATATGTAACTTTATTACATTATTTTTTAAAAATTAATTTAAAATATTCTTGGACTTCAGAAGACTGAAAACTGTATACAGAACACTGTTGCAGAAATGAATATGCAGTATATAAGGTTTCATTACGTCATAAAAAGAGAGCAGATGATAAGTACAATTCAATAGGATAAAAACTGTAATAATCATGGAATCATAGAATGTCTTAGGTTGGATGGGACCTTAGAGATCATCTAATCCAACCTCCCTGCCATGGGCCAGGATGCCCTTAATTAGATCAAGTTGCTCAAGGCCTCATTCAACCCGGCCTTGAACACCTCCAGCGAGGGCAATTTATTCCAAAGTCTTGCCACTCTCATACTGAAGAATTTCTTCCTAAGATCCAATCTAAACCTATTCTTCCTTCAGTTTAAATCCTTGTCCTGTCAGTGGACACTCTTGTAAAATGTCCCTCCCCAGCCTTCCTGTAGATTCCCTTCAGGTATTGGAAGGCAGCTGTAATGGTCCCCCTAAGTCTTCTCTTTCCCAGGCTGAACAATCCCAGCTCCCGCAGCCTGTCCTCATAGCAAAGGTGCTCTAGACCCTGGATCATCTTTGTGTCCCTCCTCTGGATTCGTTCCAACAGATCCATATCCCTCTTATGGTGGGGACACCAGAACTGGACACAGTATTCAAGGTGGGGTCTCACAAGTGCAGAGTAAAGATGGAAAATCACCTCTTTTGATCTGCTGGCCACACTCCTCTTGATGTATCCCAGGGCATGGCTGGCCCTCTGGGCTGCATGAGCTCACTGCTGGCTCATGTTCTCATCTATCAACACTCCTAGGTCCTGGACAAATACTGCATCACATGACTTCAAGAGGTTTAAAGGCTAAAAGTGTCCCAGGAGCTAGTATAAATTGTGAACGTGGTTGATCACATGAACTGCATTAACTTGAGTTTCTTTAGTAATTTGAGGAGCAGTCCTACATATTTTAGAAAGTTGTATTTTTACATCAGGAGGGAAGAACTGTTGTTGTATTGTATAAGTGCTATGGATATTTTTCTCAGGATGCCTCGCTCCAAGGACACTTCAGATTCAGGGTATCAGCAGGCAGAGAGAGCCTTCTGTTTCTTTATAGGAACTTAATTTCTCTAATTTCCACAAAATGAGCAAGCAAAACCAGGCCCTTCTTATTTCATGTCTTGCCCAGCTGTTTTTTGTTTCAGATTACATGGGTCTGTATTACTGACATGAAGGTTTTTTTAAGAATTACTTATATAATCATAGAAAGAATATCTTACTGGAGCTTTAAACAATATAAAAAGGGAATCAAACAAGTTGTATAAATGTGTTTTTTGAATTGAGAAAACAAATTCAAATGCTCAATTCACCAGAATTATTTACTTAAAACTTTGAAATTCAGCCCACTAATAATAATGCAAGTAAATCAATACTGTCCTACTGATGCAGAGCTACAGCTCTCAAACAGTAAATTATTGATGTCAAAATCTAATTCACAGTGGAACAAAATAACAATTCCATGCTGAAATAAAATTCCATAATAACAGCAAGTATCAAAAGCAGTTTAAGTTCACTCTAGAAGACTTGCATGCTTGATTTCCCAAATTATCATGACTTCTATATACAGCTTAAAATACATTACTTTTATTAATGACTTTCATATATACAGCTGTATCTTCAGAAGTATTATTCAAATTCACAGTAATAAAAAACCCATCTGTATAGAAAACTATACAGCATTTTGCTATTTGTTACAGCAAGCTCCCCACTACCCATAGAGGTTATTAACAAGCAAGTCCTGCTCATCCAGGATGCCTCCAAAACCATAAGTAACTGTCTAGGTCCCAGTTGTGCTCAGAGGCTGTCCTCATGAGCTTTCTCCCCTCTTCTACACAGGCTTTGTCTTTGCTTTTGATCAGGTGTTCCAACATGATGTAATTCACTGCGAAGGCAAGGAAAACTGCAACACATTGACTGGAATTAGCAGGTCCACAGTAAACAACAAGGCTCTGGAGTATTATGGTGACCTCGTCACAACTCAAACTATAGTACACTTCTGTGTTGGTAAAAAGATTTTGTATTCTGTTAGTTAACTGCATGCTCGGAAAACAGTTAAAAATCTAATTGTAGCCATAGTGAATACTCTTCTGACTCCACCTGACTTCTCTCCTACCACTTGAGCCCAGCCAAACAACAAGCAATACGGAAGCTGAGATTTGGAATGGAAAAGATCATCCCTTTAGTACTGAAGAAAGTTATGTTGACTCAGATTTTTAACTTCACCTGCTACTCATTTTAGAAAAAAGTCAGAAAAACAAATACATACAGTAATGAAAAAAAATGCGAAATTTTAATAGTATACCTGAGCTAGTTCATTCTTTGAAGAAACAACCTAGGGTATAAACCAGAGCTTATGTGTATGTTTGTGACATGCTTCAACCTTCAGAAAAAGCTGTAACAATGCCACACAGCTGCAGAAACAACTCCATTCCTCCTATGATCTTTTGGCTTTACAGGAAAATCCACTCAGCTCATCCCAAAAGATATTTAAAAGCAATATCCTAAAATAACTTCCGATCTTTCTTCTCAGTTTAATGCTTTTCATAATGGTCTGTAAGCTTTTTAAAGACCACGCTGCTGCAACAAGTGAGTTCTTTCCTTCAAATTGAATAAAATATGTAGGAATTCAGTTAGATGCATGTAATCTGAATCAAATTCTGATTTGCTAGATTATTACCCAGTTAGGTATGTTCATGGATTTTTACAGTGCAATCATCATAGAAGCAATATATGCATAGGATGTACAATTTCAGCTATCCTATTGTCATGGTATAGGAAAAAATTGTAGAGTAAATGACTGTTCCACATGTTGCATATAATATATGCACTGCATACAGACTTCAAGTTTACTTCAATTAAGTGATTTTCACAAGGCATAAGACAAACACCGAGCTCCCACTAGATTCTCATAATACCAGAAAGACAGTACACATGCGTATGTGGAGTCAAGCACATTTGGGAATATTTAAGAATCCCATAGAGCATAACTAAGCATTTTAGCCCACTACAAATTTTCCTTAATGAATTTTCAAAACCAGTAGGCACTTCTGATGCTATTTTTTAGCCCCCAAAATAGAATAAAATAACAAATTAGCAATCATAATTAACTCAGCACAATTCTTCGGTAGGATAATGAAATCCAATTATTAGTTAAGACACACAGAAAACTAAACGAAAAACCCCAAACTGGTAAATACAAAAGCTTTTTATTCCTTCTAGTAAACTCTGTGATCTACCATCCTAAACAATTAGTGGTCTGTGAAGACCATGCATTTCAGCCATGCAGCATGCAACAAAGCAGCACGTAACACAATGCAAAAATGGCAAAGAAAACCAAGTGATGGCCATGCTAGTATTTGTCAAGGGTCTCCTTACCAAACAGTGAAATCCTATGCCTGACAAGAACTCCAAGTTTGCAGAACAGGCTGAAGACAAAAGAAAAATAAAAGAGAGGAGAAGGGAAAAGGAAAAAAAATAAAGGAAGGGGAGAGAAGAAAGAAAAAATAACAGCTGATATATGAGCAGGAAAAGCAACATGATGTCACGCAGAAAGAATCGATTATCTGAGCAGAATGTGGGACAGAGTACTAAAGAAAGTTTTTAAGTGCATATCCTTAACAAACATGGTTAAATAAGCACATATTATAATTAAAGAAACAAAAAAAAATAAAAGCAAAGCTAATTAATATAGAAGCACTCTATATGAAAACCCACGAGGAAATAACCACCAAAGCTTTAAGAAGTAAAATGTGGTCAGTGTGCTATTCAGGATATCACTGACAATGCAAAACCAAACCGTAAGGAAATCAGATGGATTGAAGTGTTTGATGGCAAATATTTAACTAGTCCAATTTGGATCTTGTCATCTTGAACACAGTGAGAATTTATTTTCAAATACATTCCTTTTTAAACAAACTTATATGAGAAATAGACTCTTACATGGTTAAAAACTAACAAAAATGGATATGATCAACTGTGTCATTTCGCTCGTTTGAATTACTTCCTGTGCTGATGAGCAGTGCCCTGATCAGAACAATGAAGAATGAAGTTTTCTGATAATTCATAGAAGCAGGAGCACACTGTCCTACCCAAATTGATCTGGCCTCCACATTTAGGAGGAGTTAGCTCAATCTTCACCATCGGCCTGAAAATTTTCTCTGAGAGCAACATCAATTCTGGCATTATCTTGTTATGCTGCAAAATCCCTCATCTGCTAAAATGACATGAACAATATCATGTCATTTTATTAAGCTACTAAATTATTAGGCGCGCAGGCTCGGTATGAACCTCTGATTTAAAAGCAAAAATACCATAAGCATGTCTGCACAGTTTATGGATGAGATCTGAACATGTTGTTCCAGTGACAGAGAAGAGTGTGGTGCCAAACGGAAACATGTCCAGAATCAAAACAGTCAGGTTAATGTGGTGTTGGATCCAGCTACTTAGCCAGTGCACAGTGATGCACTATAGCAACAGCAACTGCTCTGTTTTAGAAATGAGTCTGGTTGGTGCATGTTGGTGGATCTCTGTTCACTTTTTATTATATTCCAATATATATTATATATTCTTTTACGAGGATCTTGGTTCATCCAGTCCAACAAGTACAGAAGCGTGTTAGCATCATATAAAATGTGTCCATTCTAATGAAGATATTAAGTAGTTCACAAACTATCTTATTTTCTAACACAAACATTACTCAATTAACTGTAGCATTCAGCAGATGTTATGTTTTTGCAAAGTCAGACTGAAACTACCTCCAGTGCAATTAATTTTGCTTAAATAAATCATTAAAAACGTTCAAATGGTCAGTGCTTAGCACTAATTTTATGAAACTGCAATAGTACAGGTACTCGTATGAGAGATACAGAAAATCCAATCCTGAAGAGGCTGCTTACAAATAAGACGGAATATAATGCCATCATATTTCAGGAAGAGGTCTGACCCGTATTTTCCCGCTAAATGTATTTGCTGAACATAGAACAATTTTTGCACTTGTTGACACTTGTCATCAACACACAAAATTATACTCTTCCATAGCTTAATGAATGCAAGCTTATCTTCACTGGAAAAACAAAGCAGCCAGGAACGGCCCTTAGCTTGAAGAAACTCCTACATATGAGCTGTACTCAAACAAATCCATGTGGAAAATTCAACAGAAAATCCGAAATTTCTGGATTTGGCAAACTCCCTACAATACCATCGGGAGGGAAAACAAAACAACACAAAAAAATGTGGAAATCTATTAAAATAACCCAAAACATCCTTCAGGAAATGAATCATATAATGTTGTTTCCATAATTTTTGTCTTTATAATTAAGAAATAAACTGCTCAGTAGCACTGGTTATGGCTATCATTCACTCAAGGTTTCCTTGAGTGTGTTTTCTCCTCTTTGGCTGACACTTCTGGATGGCGAGTAACTCCAGCACGGCAGCAGCTCTGATCCTTTTGCGGGGTTACGTGTTCAGGAATCTCACACAGCTAGACAGCATACATGGAGAACTCCTCAATCTATGCAGCAGGTATGCTGATATATCCACGTCTGACATATTCCAGAAGTATGGAGTGTTTAATTATTTATGTAATTATTATTGTATTACTTATTTATACTGTGAAAATACTGTTATCCAGGGCATTATAGACAGAAAAAAAAGCAGCTCAGAGAGCAGAAAATTACTTAGATGCATGCATTTTGACAGAGTTTTTTAATTCTTTGAAGAATGCCATTTAGCCAAGCTGCCAGACCAAATCAGGCCATGAGATGATGCAGGGTCAAGACAGCCGTTACTTACTTATGCTTAGTACTGTTGCTAGAAACTTCACTCAATATTCACACAATCGTGCAGACCCTGTATATATCTGTATGACCATCAACTGGCTGTCAGCCTCAAAGAACACCAATTCCAGATTGCATGGTTCAGTACCCACTCAAAGCCAAAAAGCAACCATGATACCTCTACATTACAGTTATGCAGTCCATCCTGTGTGAAGCTTGTAGTCCACCTTACTAAATGGGAAATACGAGTTTCAGTTCAATCACAAGCAGAGAAAGGATCAAGTGGACATTTCTGTTACATTTCTGTAACTACTGTTATTACTATTAGGAAACCAAATTACAGAAAGAATGCAGCACTCTCATGTTTACTTTTTATGGTGGACAGTAGTAACAATACTTACTGAAACTCAGTTATAAGAAAGTTTGGCTTCTAAATCTACTATAGGATTTCACAGGAATAATGATTTCAGTATATACCTATTTCCAACATTGAAAACTTACACATGGTTGTATAGCCTGTGCCACAAACTATGCAACTGATGTATTGTTGCACATAATGCTAAATTTAAGTTCCCTGCATGCTAAAATCACCACCATTACCTCTAAAATAGCATATAATCATAACTATGTATTCCTCTCTCTCATTTCATAAAATGAATTTTCCTAACAGGAAAAGAAAGTGAAAAGTAGTTTAATTTGTGTGTTCATAAAAAATATTTTTCTGCCTCCCACTTCTCACCTTCCTAAAATCAACTGCTGCTGCACAAAGAGAAACACACATATGCATACACATTAATATTATTTTAAGTTTTACCTTGTCACCATTTCCTTCTCTTTATTAGAGGCATGGCCTCCACTGCTGAGAGGCCTACTTGCTGCAGATAAGAAATACAGGCGATGATTTTTAAAATACTGATCAATCAAAGGGAGTACAACCTGAAATTACATCAGAAAGAAGTGGTTATCTCAGGGATTTTTTTCCTATGTTCTTTATTACTCTTTGTAAGTCATAATGAAAGGCAGAGATTTCAAACATATTTTCTGTTTTAAAATATATATGTACATTTTCTTTAGCATCTGTTCCTCTTAGAATTTATTTAGCATTCAAGGCATTTAAAGGGTCATCAGGTAAGGCAGAAGAAAAAAAAAAAAAACATTATCTCTGGGACTTGATACATTCTTGGGGTTTTAGGAGGAGTACAAAGCAGAATGCATAATTTTGTTTTGTCCTACAATTTAAGATTTTTCTAATACCACATATGCAGACACAACTATTGCTGTTCATGGCCTTTAATGTAGGTTTAGGAAAAATCCACCTACAACTGTCAGTGTACTAACGGCATTTAATTCTAGATGTTATCCAATAAAATTTCCAAAACATTCTCACTCATTAAGGGCTTGTCCACAGAAGTTTTTCCGTTTACTTCATGTGGTGACCATCACTCAGTGTCATGCAGCAGGTGTCAGCCAGGAGGAGATCCAAAATAAACAGTCAATAAGAAAATCTGAAATTGTTTCCCTTTTGGAGCACGGATCAGAAAAAAGGTGGAATGCTAGCTTCTGAGTCAATGAACTTGGCAAATAGCACCACATGGAGATACTTTAAGGTATCAACATTACAATCTACTGCAACGGTTATAAAGGTTAGAAAATGCTGTGAACAGCTGCCTTTTCTTATTCACCAATGAATTTAAAAGGCACTTTAAATATGTAAACACCACATAAACTTCAAGCATAAGCAGAATTTCTTAATTTATAACGTTGAAAGACCTTCTTGACATAAAAGGGGGAATTAGGCTGACAGAAATCTCATGATTTTCAGCATGGGGAAGTGCAAAGTCCTGCACCTGTGGAGAAATAGTCTCAGGTACCAGTCCACTCTGAGGGCTGACCAGCTGGAAAGCAGCTTTGCAGAGAAGGACCAGCAGGTCTGAACAGACAGCAAACCAACCATAAGCCCAGAAGAGACCCTCACTGCAAAGGCAGCCAACAGCATCCTGCATTGCATTACACAACGCATTGTCAGCAAGTCCAGGGAGGTGACTCTTCCTCCCTACTCAGCACTGGTGAGGCCACAACTGAAGAGTTGTGTCAGGTTCTGGGCTCCACAGTACAAGAGAAACACAGACATACTGGGGAGTCCAGTGAAGGGCCACAAAGATGATGAAGGAGCTAGAGGATCTTTCAAATGAGGAGAGATTGAGGGAGCTAGGAGTCTTTAGGCTGGAGAAGAGAAGGATCAGGAAGGATCTCATCAGTGTGAACAGAGGATACAAAGAAGATGAAGACAACTTCCTTTCAGTTGTGCCCCAGGAAAGGGCCAGAGGCAGTAGGTTTCCCCTGACCATCAAGAAACACTTTTTTACTGTGATGGTGACTGAATGTTGGCACAGGTTGCCCAGAGAGACTGCAGAGTCTCCACCCTTGGAGATACTCGAAATCCATCTAGACATGATCCCGGGCAACCTCCTTTACGTGACATTGCTTGAGGAGTCAAGTTAGACTAGTTGACTGCCAGAGGTCCCTTACAATCTTAGCTATTCTGTGGCAAAGACATCAGCATGGGTTTAAAACAAGGAAAGAAATAAGGAAGGTGACACTGACAGATACATAGCTGT